CCCCCCCCCCCCCCCCCCGGGGGGCGCGGGGGGCCGGCCCCTCTCATTCCTCTTTATTGTCCGGATTCCTTCCAGTCCCTAACCAAAGGCTCACTCAAAAATTTTAGTTTGATGGGCCAGCCCGTGGCTCACTCGGGAGAGTGTGGTGCTGATAACACCAAGGCCACGGGTTCGGATCCCATATAGGGATGGCCGGTTAGCTCATTGGGTGAGCGTGGTGCTGACAACACCAAGCCAAGGGTTAGGATCCCCTTACCGGTCATCTTTTGAGGAGGAAAAAAAAAAAAGTTTTAGTTTGAATATTCAGGTGTCAAAAATTAATTGGGTGATTTTTCTCCATTTCTAGGACAAGAAGAAAGAGAAGAAGTGAAATGACTATCCAGCCTTTCCCAATTTGACTTTCTCTCCTTACATCCCTCATTTCCTCTTTGCACACATTACAGGTGGCGTGTTCTGTGATAATGAAAAGCATCAGAAAAGCTTTTGTACTTTGTGGTTTTCTCTATTTTGAATTTTTGATCAGAAAACTGATTAGCAGAATATAGTTTGGAGTTTGGCTTTGTCTTCCTGGGGTTCTCCCTTTACTCTCTTTTCTGTCAGCCCCCTCCATAGCCTCTCCCTCTGCTCAGGCAGCCAGTGCACCGTGGTAAGGAGTGGGAACAGCAGATAGAGCAAACTCCAGGAGTCCGCTTTCCAGCGAGCTTCACCAAGTGGACCTGAACTGTTTGGTAGAGCCACCTGAATCCTTCCTTGGTTCAACATTGGTTTGTGCACAGTTCCTCTGGGACAGGGCAGTGTGTTTTCCATTGGAAAGAAGTTTGCTGGTCCCATTGTTAACTCAGGCTCATTATATCTGAGCTGTCAACCCCTGCAGAGAAAATGAAGAGCCTCTTCTGGTGGATGCTTTGCTTCCTTTGAGCTGCCCAAGCTGGGCTGGCAAACACACCTTTCTGCGTTGCCTTCACAAAAGGAATGTGGTTTTGTGTGTGTTCCATTTCCTACCCCTTGCCTGACCCTCAGGGAATCTGCCTGCTTTCCATCTATGGAGTGGGGAGATTTCAGTACAAAGGGAAGACTAATTCTTGTCAGGAATTTATGAAAAGGCTGATTATTGTATGGCAAGGTATATATAGCCTAGCATTTCCAAACTTCCCCTGTTTTTTATTTTTACTTATTATTTTTAAAAATTAGTTATCACCTTAGTTACTGAATGGCCTCTGCCAGGTGGCTATTATTAAAGGTCCCAAGAGAGGAAGGACAGGGAAGGAGAATGGTTGAGCCTCTGTGGCTAATTGTACTTGCCAGACAAACCTAGGTAAGGACCTGTTTGGGACAGGAAGAACAAAATCCCCTTTACCAACTGAGTGGTTCCTTGTTCACATCAATAGAGCGGGGCTGTGATGACCCAGGAGGCAGCATTCATAGTCCTTATTTGCATTTTTATCTATCCTCACCTGGGCGCTAATAGCATTAGGTCAGAGATTTGAGGCAGTAGATAAATGTTCATTTTACTGATGCACTTTAGTTTTTGGTCTGTTTACCTGATTCCAGAAATCCGCAGCCTTCTGGGCAGGAGCCAGGTGACTAAACCTGCAAGACCCTCAATTCCTGCAGCTTTGTGGTTGCAGGTGTGGGTGGGCAGTCCTAATAGGGATCACCAGCTCCTTCCCTGTGGGCTGCACAGTCAGTTGGCACAGAAGGACAGTGTTGGGAGTGGTTGTGACTCTGGCTATTCACAGGGCTTCAATGTAAAGGGACTGAGCCATTGAAAGCTCACTACCAGTAGGACACCATTTTTGGCCTCCCTGTTCATAACCAATGCACAGTTTGACACAGTGGCTGCTGGTTCACAGCACAGCACACCACATCACTATGCCATCCCATGGAGCTATTTGTTCCCAGGCTCTGTTCATTCCTAGAGTGGTATGCCATCACAATGGCTCTCTTCCACTGAGGGTACTGCCCTCTGATTTAACTGCTGCCTCCAGCCTCTGGCTTGAGAACTTAGTGAAGGGACTTCCTTCCGATTAAGCCCCCATTAGCAGCAACTCTCTTTAAATTTAGTGATTATCTGCCAGGCCCGAGAATCTGAGTTACTTCTTTTGAAGCCAGACTCCATCTCTTTTGCTTTTTTGCTTGGGATAAAGGAGTTTTTCTTTAGAAACAGTGCCAAGAATAACAAAATATAAAAAACTACTTTTAAACAAAATGCCTAACAGGTTTTTAATACAGTTAGTTATCACTGTAATTACCACTTTGTTTTCTAGTTCCTTGGTTTTCAGCTCAGGCTGCATTCTCTAACTCATACTGTGAAGACAAAGGTGTTTTTGATTCAGAAATATATGAAATCTACATAGTCTTAATTTGTAAAAAATAAATTCCTAACCTTTCCTTGTGTTTGTGTGTGTTAAATTCAAGGTCACAGCTGAACATATGACTTGGGGTACTGTCTGGCTTGCTAGTAAGGGCTGGGAGTAGGACAGGACAGTTTCTGCTCCAAGTGTAAATAGAAACAAGGACCCCCACTTTGGCCCCTTACTCTGTAGCCCCAACATGCCACAAAGGTTGGGAATTTTCTCTGTCAGATACATGGTCCAGGCCTTTTTCTAGTCTCTCCTCCTCCCCTGCCTTTATTGTAGGTTGATTGTGGTAGTGGCATGTGCAGTTGGTTCACGTGTGCTGCCAAGCTTTGGGATTTGGGGATGTATAATGGAAAAAAAGGCAGATTGCAATATTTTGTTCACCTACTATGGTCAGACTTCTAAGTGCATCAGTGACTAAAATATAAAATCCTTGTCCTCATAGTTTACTTATGAAATTATAAACCAGATCTTGCATCATAATCAGGTTATTCAATTCTGGCATATTTGCCTTCTGGTTGTCATGTTCACTGTAGACACAGGCCTTCCTGTTAGAATTTGACTGCTGTTCTGACTGGTTCATCCAGGTCACTCCCAGTTGACCTGTTTGGATTCCACATACCCCCATACCTGCTAAGGATAGCCACTTTCCCCAACTTTGAAAGTATTTCTTAAGCATCTTTTCTTACCCTTTTCTCTCTTGCTGACTTTAAGACCAGACTTAAGGACTCTAAAGCCCATTTTATCCTTATACTGGGAGGAGGCACAAGGCACAATATAATTTGAGTGCTTACAATGTCAGACGTTGGACAAAGTGCTTTACATGGATTGTTTACATGGATTGTCAATTACTCCCAAGGTCACACCAGTAGGCAGCAGCAGATCTGTGTCCAGAAAGAATCCAGCCTGCCTATGGCTCCAGCCAAGGTGGAGAGGGGAATGTGAAGAAGTTTGAGCAAAACCTCTCCACCCCATATCTTTGTAACCAGAGTAGAAGAATGAGCACCCTTTTATTCCTTCCCCCAGCTAGCTGACCAATTAAACAGGAGGTTAAACAGCAGCTTATTCCATGCCTAGCAGACCTGCAGGCCTGAACTAGGATGAGGAAGACACTGGTGGGTGGGAGTGGAAGGACCTCTGCACTGGGAAAAGACTTTTACCTAAGCATGGTGATCAGAGGGGGCGTCCACCATCCCCACCTGGAGATAAAGATAGGTAAGACACTTCGTGCTTTGTAGTCATTCACAGCGCAGGAAAGCTGCATAGAAACATGACGTATTTGAACAGGGTAACTGAAGGTTAATTCTAGTTGTCAACTTGGTTAGGTGAAGGAATGCTGAGAAACCTGGTAAACCTATCATCTTAGGTGTGTTCATGAGGGTTTTTCCAGCAGAGATTAGTATGACAGTCTGAGTGGACTGGGTGGGAAAGACCCACCCTCAATGTAGGTGGGAACCATCCAATCTGGGGGTCTGGAGAGAAAAAAAGACAAAGAGGTGAAGCCCTCTTTTGATCCCCTGGAGCTGGGATACACTTCTGTCCGTGGACATCAGAGCTTGAGACTCTTCAGCTTTTGGGTTCCAGGACATAAACCAAGGACACCATCAGCTTCCCTGGTTTTGAGGCCTTTGGACTTGGACTGAGCCATGCTACCGATGTCCAGTTTATAGACAGCCTGTCGTGGGACTTTTCTTCACAATCACGTGAGCTAATTCCCCTAATAAATCCCTGTCATATAATTATAACATATCCTATTGATTATGTCTCTCTGGGGAACCCTGACTAATACAGTAGCCATGAGACAACAGTGGAAGACAGGCTGGCCTACTGGGTCAGTGAAAGTGTTTTGAAGTGTTTGGGGCTAAGGCCAAATCTCAAAGGTTGAGTCAAGGTGAAGAGGGAAAGGCAGTGAGAGCAGACATTTCAGGTCAAGGGCACTGGAGCATGACAGACTGGGGAGTGCAGGGAACTGCAAAAAGGTAGGTTTTGCTGGGTTGAAGAGTTTGAGGAGACTAGTAGGAAATGGGAGGAAGGGGCAAATAGGTAAACAGTCACTGAGGACCTGGTATGGTACTAAGGAGCTGACTTTGTCTTGAAGGCAACAGAGAACACAGATTTTGAACAAGGGAGTGGTAAGATTTGTATTTTACACCCTGGTGACTGGAGAATAGACTGAGGGAAGAGGGGCCAGATGAAAGGCAATTATACTCTAATGCCCAAATTGTGGTCTCTATCATTTCCCACTAAAAAGAACCAGAGCTCCTTGGAGAAATGGTGCTGAGAAGTCTGTGGCAGGAAATGTACAAGATGAGTCTGGAACATAACGTTATGCCAGAAAGCAAGCTGTCAAAGAGGACTAGTATCATTCAAAAGGACTCGGGCCAAACTAAAGAGATTACTGCTGCTCCAAAATGGTATAATTTGAGCATCAATAAGAAAATGCAATGGATTGAAATCAGATATTTTTAAATCATAATATTTTTTAAAGGTCTTATTGGTCATCTTTGGGGGATGCTAGAAATCAGCCACCTTTGAATAAAGGGAGAGGTGGCCGGTTTCTAGCATCCTTGCTAATAAAGGGAAAGAAACAAGCATTTATCCTTTCTTTTCTATACTACATATACTTTGGGGTAATCAAAAAATAAGTGACTGTACCAGCAGGTGCCAGGGGAAAAAAAGTGGAAGCTTTTTGGTTTTTTTTTTGATAGGGGGCAGGGGTTACCTTCTTTTTTTTTTTTAAAAAGATGACCGGGGGGCCGGCCCGGTGGCGCACTGGATAAGTGCGCCGCTTGGGAAGCGTGGCGGG